CTATGGTTAATAAATCATTTATAAATGCTTGTAGGTTGGTTATAAACTATTAATACAGTAATAACAACCTTTGGGTGGCCAGATTGTGAAAAGTACAGACGGCTGCAACAGTCTTATTGAAGAAATAACTGACCTATAGAGAATGAATGAATTATTTATTAAGCATAATAGAGTAATAAGTTAGAACCTATAAATCTTTTATACTGGGTGCCTAATTATAAAGTGGAACTATTAGATTTTGTTCAAACAAATGTAAATGTTTGACTTTTGCTTGCTTCACATTCAGCTTTGAACTTAAACTAAATAATATCTAAAGAGGTTTTCTTTAGGAAAACTAAATCTTTAAACAGCGTTAAGAGAAATATGCTGGATTTGACGTTTTCAGTGTCTTTAAAGCAGAATAATTAGTCACACTGAGAGCAACAAACACAACACTGACACATCATCAATGAATCAAAGACATTTATTTATCATTATACAACACAAGGTTCATGTTACATGCATATAAAATAAAATAAAACTATATACAGTTATTTATATACACATATACACCCAGGAAATAATTCTACAGTGGATGTTGTGAATATAAACAGCAGCAACCAGATAGTGATAATGACCCATTATAAAGGTATTGTTAAAGGTATGTTAGCAACCAAAACAAAAAACGTTTTGAGTCCTACAACTGAAACAATGAGACGAATGCTGTTTAAAAAAGCTCTTTTCAAACTAATTATCAGTGGATTCGTCACTACAAGCGACACCGTTCACACCACACATTGTTATTTAATATAAAAGAATATCAATTAGAGTTCTCCTTTTCAGTATTTTACTTGACCCGGCGTGATGGGTGGTCCTGGGTGGGGACATAAGGGGCTTTAATAGCAGCACTCTCATCTGTAGATACAGCCAGCTAAGGATTATGGAGGATTACTATTACAGTGTGTGTCTCTGTCTGCTACACATAAACCACCAAACGTTACTGATCGAGCTCTGCGTCGTTTAAATAGTCCTCTCTCTCTCTCTCTCTCTCAAATAAGTTATACGATTTCTTTACTCGCTGTTGCAGCATTACATTTCTTGTGGTTACTTCTTTATATTCGCTGCTGCTTCTGCAGATCTGCTGCTGTGTGGTGTTATTTTTGGGGAGAGCACCTATGTGGAACCAAGCGAGTGACAGAGGAGACGCACAACTCCTCCACAACACTGCAAATGCTTTAGTCTAGTGGTCTGCAGATATAGTTGGGTTTTTTTTATTTATCTGGGCCATTCTTGTACTACATAACAGAAATATATCTATTCTTGTCTCTCTGTGCTTTGATATTTTCAAAAATAGCGTTAAAAAAATCCATTAAATTCTCTGAGAAGGGGAGAAATGTGGTTGTTTTTATTCCCACCCACCTTCAGGAAACTGTGTGGTGGCTGCAGGTGAAATCCTGTCCAGGGATGTTGGTGTCAAGGTTAAACAAATAAGGGAAGATCTCTTGTGCGACACCAGTTCAGGCTGCATAGTAAATATGCAAATTAGCAATTAAAGCAGCTATAATTCATATTTTTATATGAACAATGGATCACATGACTACTTGTATGTGACAGAGGTCTCTCATAACCCTCAGTGGTGGAAGAAGAAGTACTTGGATCTTCCATATGAACGATTCTGAAGCATTTTACGTTTTATTTTTTATGTTAATCACACTGGTGCGAAACACTAGCTAACATTAACTTATAAATGGAATCCGTCCACAAGCGACAGACACCCACCACAACACAGAGTCCAAACACAAAGTCCAAAGTCAAAGCTAAAAAAGCTTGTGGAATATATTGTGCAAAATAGCTTCATTCAGAAAATAATATTGTATTAGCGTACAATGTAATGTGCAGTATTTTTACCTTAATGCTATAAAAGAGCAAAACTGACATTAAGTGATGTGAAACTGTTATTTTAAATAAATCCAGTGTGTGTGTGTCTGCATGGATATTTTTCATAAATGAACAAATGCATTCATGTAAGAAAAGTATTGTATTGATTGTTGTGTTTAGATATCAGTGCTGTAAACTGAGGGTTATAATGTTGGATGTTAGAGGCACTGGGACAAATACAACAAGCAGATCTCAACTGAAAAATAACTCACATTTAATGCGTATGGTGGCGTGTTTTCCTAAAATCAGACCGGAAAAAAACCCTTATTATATATATATTGAATCGTAACCCCTGTTTTAGTGACATGTGCCGATTTGCCAGATTCTTGCCAATACAGTAGCCCTGGTTCATATGTGAAAGACTCTTCAGGCTGTGAGCTGTGACAGTAACTCTGTTATGAGGAAGCTCTGCAATCCTCAAGCACTGCGTCTATAAAACAGAAAAGAAATCTCCAAATACAAAAGTGTGTTCTTTCCCTAAGAGGGCAATCAAGCAGGTGCCTGGTTAGTCATGATGGCTAAACATACAGTCCCGTGGGTGTCTCCTGTTTCCAGCTGAGAGTACTTGTTCACAGTGCTGATTTCCATCTGAACAGGGCAGAGGAAAGGTCCAGGTAATGGCTGCTTGTTGGGGTTTTCTTTTTTTTTTTTTTTTATGCTTCAGGACTCAAACGCCGTATAGAGTTGAACTGGGCAGCGGTTGTGTTGCTTTTTATACCGCAGAGAATCCTCTCCTGGAATAAAGACCCAACATACATATTATTAACTCCCTTTGTTACTCACTCGACAGTGTTACAAAGAAAAGCAGACTCTTCCAAGAAGCCTAGAATATGAAACAAAGTGAGAAACAGAAACCGTGAAATGAAACCCATCTGACTCAGCTTCACCCTCAGACGTTGAGACTTTTAGCCAGACTCAACCTTCCTGAACCCGGACGGTGGTGGAAGAAGTATTCATATCCTAAAAGAACCAATAAATTAGGTATAATCAGTATTAGTTCTTGTTCTGCAGTAAAATGTCTGATTCTAAGAGGCGTTATTAGATTGTTAACAGGTGGAGGGGCTCTGTTATACACATGCCTGTGCACCGATCAGATACCACCTCATTTAATTGCCTTTTTTTCCTCCCTCAGGATGGTGAAGTCATGACCCGCCCTACTCTGACTATGACAAAGGCTTCAACCTGAGCAAGACCATACAGCAACGATAGCATCGTATCATACAGGCTTAGTAGCATAAATCATTACTAAACTCTGATACACGAAATATTCGTGTTTTAGACTTTCTTTCTTTCCTTTTTGAGAAATATTTGATCATTTTTTCCTCTTTATACCTCAACTAGTTATTTAAATAAAACCATGCATATATATGTGAGAGGTTTAGAAGAGGATTTATCTTTTTGGTGAAACTGTTAACAACTCATAGACAATCTGAAAGTTCGGATACATAAATCTGTTGAATTTTCTGACTTCTTCTCTATAAATAATGGATCATTTGAATAGTTAATATTTAACTTGAAGCATCTGAAAAGTTCTGGAAAAAGAAACTAACAACTCACCGACATCTAAAACAGAAACAGGACAAAGTCTGAACTCATCGTTGTTTTTTAATGTAAAATCTTAATTTGAAAAGTAATTAGTTACTGTAGCTGTCAGACAAAGTAAACAGTACAATACTGAAATATAGTATAAAATGCAGTTGGTGCTTATTTCTTCTACCCTCATTGATATGAATGGGGTGGACAAAATAATAGAAACACAGTATGGTAAGGTCACCTTCATTAAATCCTCCCTGGAAAATACCTAAGGAAAGTACCTTAAGACTCTGAATTACTTGTGTTACATATTAATTAAACCCCCTTTAATTAAATTCAATTTAACTTATAATTTAGGTTTCTTGTTTTGTTTTTGTTTGTTTAGTTTATTTGTTTGCTGTTTTCTCTTTTCTGTTAAAGTATGCTGCTTGGATTCATTGTTAGGTATGTCTAACAACCACCAACAGTGCCTGTCTGTTATCTGATGTTTAATAAAGGTTTTTAAAAAGAAATGAACATTATAAAGGAGGATGTATTAGAGTACTGTTGCATTAAATCAGTGTACCTTATAAACTGGGAACTGGGTGTAAAACTAATTCACATGATGGAGACGTACTGTCCTACGCTGACATCTTGTGGTGGATTCATGAACTGCTCTGTGAAGTCACTGTGTTTCTATGGCTACAGAAAAGTGATGGAAACCCTGTACCACGGTCTGGACAATTAACAGCTGGGTTAGTAATAGTCTGGGCAGAGGATACAAAGAACAATGTTTTTCTTAAAAATCCTGCAGCACAGCATTCGGTATATCACGACGCCAGCACAGTTTTTGCCTCCTGCAGGTTTTTATCATAATGTGGCACTTTAAAAAAATCACCTTTTATGTTCAGTACATTCACATGATGTAATGTTTGCTACAACAGCAAACAAACTGCAGCCAGTGTCTCTTTTTCATCTCTTCTTATTCTTTCTTTGGTGCCTGTATTTTATGTTTTAATATGCAAAGTCACATTCACAATCAATAAAATACATCAATCAAAGACTGATTCCAGCACAATAATTAAAGCGTGTGCATGCAGAGTGTATGCACAGGATCTTATTCACACACAGGTGCATGCACACTCCCACACAGACACAAAGAACAGTTCCTCCAGCACAATTACAACATGTGCCGTCATCCGGCCTCGTTGATGGTTGTCATGGAGATGTCATTGATAAGGTGGACAAAATAATTTTCCTTTCTGCACTTAACTAAAGAAAGTCCTGTGAGGCAGTTTCACAATTAATGGGCCTTTGCTGAATCAGACCTCCTTTAATGAAAAGACAAATCAGACTGTGCTGTGGCGCTGGGTTGCTATAGTGCTTCACCTTGTGTGTTCATCTCTGTCAACCTTTCCTGTTACAGCCTCTCTGTAACTCTCCAGAGCTCTACTACCCGCCGCCGCCACCGCAGCCGCCACGGCCGCTCCTGCTGCTCCTGCTGCTGCTGCGGTGGTGATGGATTAACCATTTCTTAGAACTGCCTGACGACAAGTCTGTGTCACCTCTCTCTCTCTCTCTCTCTCTCTCTCTCTCTCTCTCCCTCTCTCTCTCATCACATACTTTGTCTGAGGAGCAAACACAATCTGAAAAACCTTGACTACTGCAGCTTACTGCCACACACACACACACACACACACACACACACACACCAACTCACTGCTGCCTGTTCACAGAGGACGTCAGTCGCAGCTCTGCAACAGGGGGAGTAAATGTCTGCAAGAGAGAACTGATCACACCAGAAGGTTGGTAAGTAGTACAGACGCACAGCAGGAAATGTATTATCAACAATTCTTTTAACTTCATTTTCTTCTTCTCGTGACCTTTTCACACAATCTGGTTGATCTCAGACGGAAGTTGAATGTATTGATGATTGTTGAGCTTTGTGGCAGCTGAAGAACTAATATTTAACCATGTTCAACATGCAGTGTTCAATAATTTCTGACTAACACATTTAGCCTCTCTGAGAGTGTGTAACACAGCTCCGACATGTGCGCACACACACACACACACACACACACACACACACACACACACACACACACACACACACACACACACACACAGTGTTGTTAGTAGGGCTCTTGTAGAGGATGAGTGTTGAGCTAAGCCTGTTCAGGTGAAGTGGAGTTTTCTATCCTCAATGTGCAAAATTGTTAGCAGTCTGCAGGCAGGGAAGAAACACAACACTGCAACATGCTGTGCTATATAATCACATACTGTATGTACGTTGATGAGGAAACAAAGACTACAGTACGAGGATAAAGTCCACACTTTAAGCTCCAATTTTAGGGTAAATAAGGTAGGAAATATTGTCCTTTCATACACATAGTACCCCTATTTTTGCATTATTATGACTTTGTGTTCAAAAGATCTACAACAGAAAGATCCGGATTCCAGGTGAGACAGTTGTGTAGGAGTCTGTTGTTGTTTTCCAACATAAAGACCAAAGAAATGTCGACACCTGAAGCTAAAAACAGTCAGAATAGTAAGTACAATGATGAGCTACTTTACTTGAGTATTATAATATTTCATAGCTACAGCATTACGTTTATCTGACAGCTACATTTACCTTGCAGATTTTGAGGATATAAAATTTGATGCATTGTTTACAGTAAATTAAACAAGGCAACACTATATAATAATCAACTCCACCTCAACCAAGTACAACATTAGAAATGTAGTTTACATGTTAATGCGTCAGTAATGTTTGTTAAATATTATAATATATAACACTTTTACACTACAGTTTTGAATGCAGCACTTTTGCTTGTGATGGAGTGTTTGTGGTATTGTTATTCTTACTTAAACGTACTCCAAGGAGTTTTTAAATGGTTATGAAACAGTCTGACTTTAATTCTGATGCCTCTATATGAGCCACATAAACAAACAAGACCATGAGTGAGAAGCTATTTCTACATATATAATCTGAACGCCGGCTACCGGCTCGGATTCCCATTGAAATCAATGAAATGAGACAGTAGAAACACTACAGCTTTTGTCCACAGGGGCCACCAGAGTCAACACGAAATGAACGTTCCTTGTAGCAGCTTTGTCCGAATACTGAAATCAGCTGTTTGGTTCAATGTTGCAGAAGAAAGACAAATACTTGGAACCTGTTTACAACTGTTTATATGTGTCAACAAGAGTCTACAGCCATGCTAGCAGGGGCTGATGGGAATATCTTTATAGTTTGTTTGTTTACCTTATGATGAAACTATATTGGGATCACAGTTCATCCTGAGGGGAAGATGAACGTGTGAGCCAAAAATGAATGCCTAATCTATCCAGTAAATATTGAGATATTCTTACTTAATAAGCAGAAAAACCTTGACCTTTAAGACAAGAATGCATTAGAATAACGTTAACCAAGACACAACCTTCTGCTAGCAATAAGAAACCTGTTGAGTCCTGATTCAGAGTGCTTTAATTAGTCACTGATTGACCTGAGCAGCAGCAGCAGGGATGAAAAGATGAAAGCGTCGGCCCCAAAAAAAAAAAAGGCCCGGCGTGGTGATTACATTCATACCACCTCCACCTCATCTGTCAAACACGGTGCAGGTGGTGTTTTGTGTCGGACGTGAGTGGCTGCTGCCGGTGGAGACAGCTCGGTGGTGTTCAGTGATGATGTCACTGTTGATGGCAGCAGCAGGATGAAGCAGGAAGAAGACAGAAAACACTTTGTCTAAACTGCGGTAGAGGAGTGAAGATGGCCGGTTATAAATGCGGCACCTCAAGGATATCAGGCCTCTGCTGATGTCTGAGTCACTTATTGACTGGAAAAAGTGTTTTCTACCTTTGTGAAACATTGTGAAGACAGTATAAAGCCAACCTGTGGCTCTGGTGTTACAGCCTCTCGTGATGTCCCCCATTGGTTTGTGGAGTACCCGTTTTAAAGCCTCCAGTTTGGCGTCGACATCTTGTTTTTTGCAACCAGACGTGACCATATTTGGACTTCGGAGTCACACACGTTCTTGTATTACAACTAGACAACATTTGAGGTGAGAAATGGTCAACGCAGTAACAGAATCTTGAATCGTATTTGATTTGTATTGAAATTACCTGCGTTGTGTGAATCACAAGGTAGCCCCGCCCTAAAGCATACCCTGCTTTATGGTCTGTTTTACTCTAAATGGGACCATCAGTTACTAAATGAACATCGTGCTGTATGGAAGAAGACTGAAACTAGAGACTGAGACCAGAAACTCATCAGGAAACTGTTCATAATGAGTGAGAATAATGGTCTTTGTCTCATGAGAGTAAATGCAATCTGACTTCTTTTTGCAACCAGTGGAGTTGCCCCCTGCTGGCCATTAGAAATAATGCAGGTTTATTATTATGTTATTTCGTCTCAGGCAAACAAACTGTTTGTGTGCAATATTAAGGAGAGTTTACCAGCAGGGAGGGTCTAATTAAAGGCACTATTGAGTTCCATTATGGGAAGTGTAGTTTTCAGGGTTTTTGGTTCCGATCAGGAAATCTCGCTTCAATTTTCACAATTTAAAAATGTTATATACTCTTTAAAAATGGTTTAATTAATGTATATAATGGGCTTAATTAGTTTTTTTTGGACCTTTTTCAATCATGTAGAAGTGTACTCGAGTGTGTGTCAGTACACGGTGACATCACTGTGGGGTGTGGCTACATTTATAAAAAAAAAATTAAAGCTTAAACCTGACTTTAAAGGATAAATCTGACATTATTCTATATTTTTCTTATTGTGAACAAATCTCACAAAGAGACCTACAGACCTTTGAAAATGGGTCTCAAATATATAGTTTTATTTTTTTTTTAAATGACTCATTAATTTCAGCTCAGCTGGTCACTTTAGTTTTTAGCAAATGTTCCTCAAACAGGAGGAAACAGTGCTTTTGCTAGGGACTATTTACCGTGGTAAATTAATCTACAATTGCTGCTTTTGATCTTTGTATTTACTGACAAGAGACATATAGAATATCACTGCGCTGTTTCCCCTTAAATCAAACTGGAGTACAGGTTGTTGGTTAAAAACATAAAGCCGTGTATTGATTTATTACTATGTGGAAACTAGAGCATTGCTAATAGCAACATGTGCTATAAATACATGCTGCATGATGTAGGACACTCTGATCATCATGTGATTTCTGTTACATAGTGCAGAATGAGGGCCACACAAGTACAGAAACACACGTCTGATCCAACATACGGACACAGAGTATATGGTGCAGTTAAACATCTGCGGTCAAACATATTGCAGACAGCTTTTAGCAAGAGCTCACCTCATCTATTTGTGTTATATATGATTGACATTAGCATCAACTTGACACTGATTATTGTCGTTATTTTAGTGTTATATTGTTTTTTTTTCCTTGCTGGTATTTGTCCCTCACGCTAACCATTTAAAAAAACATCTTTTGTTATGAGACAAAGATGACTCTAACTTTCTTATGACACTTCCTGTGTGTCATTCATTGTCATAACAGCTCCATTTTTGGTTGCTACAGTAGACATTTATGGGCCCCACACAAACACACTTGCTTTGCTTTGCATACCATCACAACATACAGAATAATGTATTTCCTTTATACATGTAAATGCTTGCTGTGTTTTAGTTTCATGGGCTGTGACTCATACAGGGAAAATGTTATGTTACTGTCTGAGACATTGGTAACTGCCACCTTATCTGCACTAATAGAGAAAAGCAAGGACAAACAGTACAAAGGCTGATAGAAAGTGGCTGCCTCTGCTGGTGCTGCAGAGGACGAGCGTATGAAAGGGAACTGTTGAATGGATCCTATGCAAGCAAAAAAAAAGACAAGAACTTTATATGTTCGCCTTTTCCCAAACCTAAAACAACTTGTGTCACATACAAGCAGATTTCAATTTTATATTTTAAAAACATTTTTAAAGAGCCCATAAATCAAAACGTATTCATATATTTTTATATTGTAGAAGCAATACAGAAACTGGCTGCAGTGCAGATGTTATGTGTGTGTGGTTTAGGAGAGGAGATGGGTGTGTATGAAGACAAAACATGTATGTACAAGCAACAGATATTAACATAGTGTGGTGCTCTGGTAGCTCACGTGGTACAACAGTGAGCCCCATGTACTGTAAGGCTGCAGCAGCTCAGGTGTGATTGTTCTCTCCCTATTTCCAGTCTGTTTTCAACTGTCTCTGTCCATTAAAGCCAAAAAAGGCACAAAAAAATGTATAGGCAGCTATTGTTGCACCATGAGCCTTAGCCCAACCGGTTAAAGGTCTTAACATCCATCCAGGCTGTTCTAGTTCCACCACTGTCACAGATAGCCACTATTTAGTAACCTTTAGTAACCACTCACATAGACACAGTTTCAATATGAAGTGTAAGTAAGAGTGGCAAGTCTACAGGGTCTTCAGGCGGCAAATAATTTTTTCCTAAGATTTTAAAGTCAATTCATGAATGAGCTTGATGTCAAACTCTACCTCATTTTGGCATCATATAACCATATTTCTATCAATGCCTCTTTTTTGGAGTAATGTAGCTATAGAAGATTTGAGTGTGGTTGTTAAAGGGTTTGAAGTTTTGCGCTCATGAAACAAGTGATGACTTGACTTTGTCATCCTAAGAACATTTTGCCATCAGGTGCGAATCTTCTCAATAACTGGTGTTTCGTTGAGTAGGATCCACAGAACCACCTCCTCTGTACCTGCACCCACAAACTCAACACAGCCCTCTGTAGCATGGTAACACTGCTGGGCTAACATCAGTTTACTACTGCTATGGTGTTTGTTGTTGTTGTTGAGTCATTACTATGAGTACTATGGGTTCCCTCCACCCACCAGCCCAACCACCCCAGGAGGCCGGTAGGCTTCAATTGAGTAAACAACAAACAAAAGGAAAAGGCTGATTTTAGGTGTATCTATGAAAATATATTTTGTGCCCTAATTCTGCATAATTCTCTAAAGTATTTTATTATTTTCCATAGAAACCTGTCGTACTACGTCTCCAAAACCACCATCTGGGACCAAGAGGGATGGAGGGAGAGGGCTGTAATCCTGGGGTATCTATAGATTCAGGTAACCCCTTGCTAAAAGCAGTCTTCCTCCGTCGCCTGCGACTCACACGGCTGCTTCTGGAGGGAGGCGCTTACATCAATGAGAGTGACAGCCAAGGCCAGACACCCCTGATGGTAGCCTGCAGGACCCAGCATACCGACGCCCAGAGCGCCAGCCGGGTCAAGCTAGTCCAGTTTCTTCTGGAGAAAGGAGCAGATCCCAACATCCAGGACAAGGAAGGTCGCTCTGCCCTGATGCACGCCTGTCAGGAAAAGGCCGGCGCTGAGGTGACGTCTCTGCTCCTGGCCAGTGGAGCGGACATTAGCCTGGAAGATCAGTCCGGGACATCAGCGTTGGTGTACGCAGTCATGGCTGGAGACTGGAAGGTTCTGAAGCTGTTGCTCGACACATGCAAGGCTAAGGGGAAGGAGGTGATCATCATAACGACTGACAAATTCCCATGTGGGAAACTGCAAGCTAAGCAGTACCTCAGCATGCCTCCTCTTAGTCCTCTTGATCAGACAGACAAAACTATATCAGCAGCACCTGCATCTCCGTCTGAAATTCAGCTCATCACTTCCCCCCAGTGTACTTCCTCTTCCTTATGTCCGCCAAAGCCTGTCTTCTCCTTTAAAGAAGCCCAGTCCTGTGGCGTTAGCTCCCATCCATGTTCCCCATCGCGGTTTCAAAGGCTCGGCCAAGCGGCGCCGCACGGACTGCAGCAGCCCCTCCTGAGGTTGAACTCTGAACCCTGGCTAAAGATCCCGGCATCTCTGCTCAGCCAGCAGCCTCATGCGACCTCGTCTTTAGAAAACGGCACCCAAACTGAGGACCTCTCTCTTAGAATTCCCAAACTTGATGAAGACAACAGCACAAATTCAGCAACTGCCGCCTTCAAATGGTATGAAGGAAAATTGGCAAGGTACAAAGGACTTGAAGGAAATGCTAAGAATGAATGTGGCAAACAAGTTGGACAAAAGATGTCCTTACCAGGTCTCCTATCATCCCACTCTGCCTCCCACCCTAACCTCCATTCTGTGAACCTTGGAACAGATTCAATCACGTCCTCTTCCTCCTTTTCTGGTGGCAAAAGTCTTGGCACTCCACTTCACAGCATGGCCTCGTCAAGCCTTCATAGCATAATCCAGAGGCGCAAGCTTGGGGCCGACATCTACAGCTCTGACCCCCAGCTCGCAGTAGACATCCAAAATCTCCCTGAGGAGTCCCAGCAGAAAGCGAGAGACCTAACAGATGGCAAGAGGCTGGCCCCGTTGCGCTGCTCCAGCACGCTGGGCTCCAGGGAGTCACCGTCAACCTCGGGCCCAAGCAGGAGAGTCCTGGCTGGGTTTGAGCGGAGAGGGTCTGGAGCCTTCTTGTTGGACCACAACTCCCAGGTCAGGCCTAGATCTCTGCCACCTCTCACCCTCAACTCCACCAACAACCCCATCCTTAATGTTTATAACCTCAGCTCCAGTGCCGGAGGTAGTTTCTGTGAGAAAGAGCCTGGCCTTAAAAATTTCCTTCCCTCTGCTCCTCCCGGGCACCCGAAAGAGCTGACCAAGAGGATGCTCCTGAGGAGACACTCGATCCAGACCGAACAGTTCAAAACCACAGCTTGAAATTGAGCCAGGAGGGAAGAAAAGTTCATCAGTGTGTTTTAATGTGAAATGTTTTTGTTATGTGATGTAGTGTCTGTGTAGTGAAACTCAACGAGGGGAAACCAAAGAGGATATAGAAGAAAAATTAAATATCCTTCGGTCGCTGTAACATACAAACTGCAGGTACCTTCCTCTGCTTCAGTGTGCTGTGTGTTGTCTCTGTGCATGTTGCTTCCCTGTGCAGTTTTTACATGCAGCACCTCCTTTAAGCTGCTTTAAGATTTTTTGGCCACTTGGGGGCAGCAGAGCAAGCTAAAAACACAACATCTGACATATTGTCACCTTTTAAAGTTCTTTAAGCTAACATGTTTAGCTAAGCAATGCTCCATTGTGTTTACCAGCTTGTCTCTGTGTCTTTATTCAGTTTCATCCTGGACAGATACTTTATAGTTGGTTAATTCAAGCTTTTTAATGAAAACAGGGCTGATAAGAGTGGAAGGCAGACTTAAAGGAAACAGTATTGTTGATAAACCTCTGTGGATTAGTCAACTTTCACATTATCTATGAACCATTTCATCCATTGTTAATAGTTTTAAAGGTATAATCAAAACATGTGATTTAAAGCTTGCCCCTCCTCCCCCACTCAACAAGAGAAAGAGAGCAGCAGTGGTCGAACGAGCTGTAGAGTAAATGACAAGAGGGAGCAGGATATAAGCTGAACGTTTCCAGCTGAGAAAGCCAACTTGTATTTTCCTTATTAAAACTGATTATACTGTTTAAAACGTCTATCATAAAACATTAGCTTAAAATATCGACACCACTATTTAAACTTACCTGAAGAGCCAATCTCCAGAGCTCAACTTGCCAGGCAATGTCTTTTTTTGCCATTATAATCCTGGTTACTACATTTTTATATAGATTTTATAGAGTCCGACCTCACACCCTGTGCACTGCCTAACCACCTCACCACCTCACACGTCTAGTGGTTCAAAGGTGATGATTGACAGGGATTTTGTTTGTATCACATTGTATTTTAGAAGAACCCTACTCATTATGCCTTTAAAGTCAACATGTGCAGAATTAAAAATCCCTGACTTTGGTGCCCCCCCACCCCCAGTGGTACTAACCAAACAATTCACTGTGAAAGACAGCAACAACACTGCTTAATTTTTCTGCAAACAAAAGCCTTCAGAGCGCTTTCAAAGATCTTGTTATTGCTATTTTACAATCTAAGTCAAGAGAGGTTGAGTGTTCAAAGTGTTTTCACTGCTATTTGCTCAAGGAGTCCCAAATATGTGTCTGTGAGAAGCCACTGTCGACGCTTACTGTGTAACAACAGCAAAAAGTGTTTAATAAATGAATTTATTATAATAAAAAAGGTATCACAAATCATTTTTAAAGTACATCACTATGCATTAAACATGCATAATCATTTGAAAGTGTTTGTTTTACCATAGATAAAGAAACACCATAGCACACGTGTGAGTTTGCTTCCATAAACGGCTAAAAACATTAAAACATCCCATATATTTACACGTTTATATTAAAAATGAGAATGAAAAGACAGTAAAATATGAGCTTCTCACACGGAGTCATTGTGGCAAGAGCTATTAAAAAAAACTAATGTGGATTATGCATAAATTTGTATTCAGGCCACAATCTGGTGGCTTAACTCCTCTACTAGATCTTCAGATTACATTCAGCAAAATAAATACATGGAACAGTATTTACGCCACTCATAATACAAACAGCGGCTTAATACAAAACAGAATATTTGTTTCTTGTGTCTCTAAACATTTGCAATGTTTCACATCGGCTCAGACAGACTGCGATGTACATCAACGTAGCTCCGTCCTCCACGGTTCGCCAGGAAAGCCCCAAACACCCCACCGGTGGCGGTGAATCAGATTTAGTCCCTTCTGTCACGTCTCGGACAGACGTTAAAATCTCTCTCAGGCCCTGCGGTCATAATCGCTGACCATCTTCTTGATGTGGTTTAGTTTGGACTTCAGATATTTACACCTGCGCTTCTTCACCTGATAATCTGGAGTCTGTAGAGAGGACGGGCAAAAAGAACAGAGACATAATGAGTCTGAGTCATACGATCAACAGCTTGTAAGTTCTAAAAAAAAAAAAAAAAATCACCAGAAGCTTTTTTTTTTTTTAAATGGCTGTAAATTAATGACCACATACCCGTTTCATGTTCTTTATCCTGTTGTATTCATCCATTGCATCCTGTTAGAGAGCAACAGTTCATCAGTGACACATTGCAAATGAAATTACATCACCAAAATTTCACATTTAACAATATTTCTATGGAAAAAAATTATTCATCTCACTAAGAACTTAAGTCAACTTGGAGGCAGCAGAACAACCTATAAACACAACATAAACACTATTGGTACATGGTAACCTAACACAGGGGTACCCAAACTTTCCCAAGGCCCCCCAAATAGCATTAGCATACAGCCGTGGGCCCCCTTTTGCAATACTACAGCAAACATAAAAGAAAACAACCTTCTGACTATTTATAGATTATTTAAGTAATATTTCCTGACTTTAAATTTGACGTAATTAGACTTAATGTTAATCTTAATGATATGGCTCTGTGGTTAACCTTCATTTCAACCTCTGCCTTATAAAGTTGATATAGTGAACTTTACACATGCACCAGACATAAAACAACATTATCATTCATTTGGACTTCATTTATAGGTCTAATATTCAATCTATTCTAGCTGTTAAATGCTCCACTATGTTCACCAGCTACTCTCTAACTCTGTCTGCTAAACAGTGAGTTTCACAGCTGGGACATTCAATTTGTGGGCTGTAAAACCAAAACGCTCTGTAGAGCTGAGGAGGGGAAGTGCAGAGATGGTGATAATTCTCTGTGGGTTTGTCACTACAAGCAGCTCCTTCCACATTTAATCCATCGTTAATATGAAAACACTGATTAAAGAAGCTCTGACACATTTGAAAGCGGACTACATTCGTGGCGTCTCCCGGGTCTTTGCGTCGATACATTTTGTTTTCAAATTGGCAATATCCAACAACATGCTTCAAACTGAATCAACAAAATATTGGACAGTAGTTGGAGTGCTTGTAGTCATATGAATGAATATAAAGCAGTGAATAAATAAATATCAAGCAGTGTTTCTCTGTGGGCTCTCACCAGGTACTGCGGGCTGCCCTCCTGCAGATCATCCAGCTCTCGGTCCACCTCCGACAGGCTCTTATTGATGGCGTCCAGCTCCGCCTGCAGATCCTTGTACTCGAGGTGGTCGCGGTCAAATTCGTGCTTGTAGTCGTTGCGAATCTGCTCAGTGGCTATTGGAGGAAATTCACTGAAGCAGAAAAACAAGTTTACAATTTAAATTAGAGAAAAGAATGTAAAAAGTAATCAATTAAGTTAATTAATCAAGTAAAAAACTATTTTGTGCTTCTTTAAACTTCCACTGCACTACATTTATCTGATTTCTTGAATTTCTTTGTTTATTCAAATTTCCAATTCAAAGTGCAAACGCCACAAAAATGTTCATCACACCAAGTAATTTGTGTCTGTTATTAGGTAAAGTAAAGTAAAACAGAAGTAAAAACAAAAACAAAAAATCTGGTGAGTCAACTAGTTTTATGAATTTTATAAAAATGAAACATTTTTCTTGTGACTCTAAAGGAAAACTTTATGAACTGATTTTGTTTGATTAGTTTAATTTCTTCCTACCGATGAAAGTCTTCGTCGTCCAGCTCGTCTCCTGAGGAGTTGTAGTCGGTGTCGTAATCATGTCCGTCAGCGCGGCGCGGCCGGCCTGCACGTCTCTTTTTGGGCCTTCCAGCCGAGCTGGCTAACTCCGAGTTACTGCTGTAGGGAACGCCGTTATGCAAAGGCATTGCCTCTTCCACTGGAGGCCTGTAGGACAAATAACAGAACAGCATTCATACTGTTAGATTAAATATACAGAACAAATTAATAAATATAAAAAAACTCCTGTTACTGTAATTTACAGTTGACCTTAGCTAGACTGTGGTGCATAGTAGTGTCTGTAAATCCAATAAACTGCTGAATGTATGCTAGTTTCTAAATTCAAATATCTCCACTCTTCATTTTTATGAGGTGTAGGAGGAAGTAACACATGAGCTATCTCGGTTTATGATGTACCAGTTCATCCTGGACGAGTATGCAGGTCAACAATGACTTCCTGCTTCGCTCACTTTGTTCCATTATCAGCACTAAAGTAATTCACTTAGTTTCAGTGTTGCAAGAAAGTGTGATTCATGAATTTCTTACATTAGTGGCCTCACGAGAAGCTATGTACTGTATGTGTGTAGTATGTTTACTGACTCTCCTCCTTGTAGAAAAAAACCCAACAAAATAATCAGGTTTTCATTTTTGCCAAAGAACAAGTTCCAGCAAGCTTTTTCACAGCAACAATCTGAAGGAAACCGCTCTAAAGCTGCGCCCCAACTCCATACTGCACACTAGTTCTACACAGCATGTACAGAATGTATACTAGATACATACACACATACATACACTTATATTCTTAAAAATTAAAATGTTATATATTTGGTAACTTTCCTGTGTTGCATTCAGAGACAGTTAGTACCCATTAACAGCACTCTTTAGCACTCTACATACTAAACTGGCTTTATTGTTATCACTTCTCCAGGGTGAACATGCAGCAAACAGCAACGTCTCTGTGGCCCATTTAGTCGGAGACATCCCAACGCCCCCAGTTTGAATACAACCAGGTACCTTTTTGTTGCCTGTCACCTTGCTTTCTCCCCACCTCTCTCTACTGTGAGCTGTCACATAATAAAATAAATCTTTAAAAATGTGCATGTAGTATTGAATGGGGACACAGAGTAGCTCAAACTGCTGCACAGATCTGTAACACAGCATACAGAGCATCACACCAGAGCTGCAACAATTAGTCCATTCATTGTCGACCATTCATTTAATCACAGACTATTTTAATAATCAATTGTTTTGAGTCACTCTAAGAATATTATTTTTATTTAAATCCTCTGATTTCAGCTTCTCAAATGTGAATATTTTCTGGTTTCTTTAGCTTCTTTATTTATTTTTTCGCCAACAACTAACTGATGCATCAAGAAAATGATTGACAGATTAATCAACAATGAAAACAATCGCATTCAAACACATTGAGCTTTTGTCACAGCAGTTGTTTATCCCATTGCACACGGCGCGGGTCATTATACTCACTGTGGGGTGTAACTGTGGGGGGGTTTGTCATAGTTTGTGCTTTCGTCGTCCAGGTAACTCCTGGAGCCTCTCAGCTTATTGGGGTAGTCTGATATCGGGAGTACCTCAGGGCTACCGGACACATTGTTCACCTTTGGGGAGAAATTCATTCATATTAACAACATATATATCAATAAATAAACATTTATTTTATATAGCGCTTTAACAATGGTAACAAATAGACAATAACAGAAACAGCAATGGCAATAAAAACTACTATATCAACTGTAAACAACATACATGTCTATATTGCACGCTTACAGCTCGAGCTACAACTGACATGATTCATTATTGATTCATCTGCAGATTATGTTGATTATGTATGTTGAAAAATGTCCTTTGAAAGTCCAAAACCCCCCAAATATTCAGTTTAATATGATATAAAACAGAAAAGCAGGAAATCTCCATATTTGAGGCTGAAAACAAAATGTTCTGTTTTTTGAATGAAAAATGACTTCGACTAATCAATTCGTCAGCCAATCATTGCAGATCTAATACATTTTGAAGGACCAGCGTGGAGGATTTACTGGCATCTAGTGGTGAAGCTGCAGATTACAACTCACTGTATTCAACCTGGGAATGAGAACGTGCTGTGAAGTGTGAAGGAGAAACTACGATGGCTGTGATTAGAAGATTACCTGAACGGACAACTATTTTGATAATCATTTAAATAATCTTTAAAGGGAAAAAAAACACCAAATGTTTGCTAGTTTCAGGTACTCGGTTGTGAAGATTTGATGCTTTTCTTTGTCGTACATGATAGTAAAGTGAATATCTGTTGGACATTTGAGAACTTTACCTTTATATAGGGAATTATAAACAGGCATTTGTCACAATTTTCTGACATTTCATACACAAAACTCTTAATCTTTAATCAAAATAACTGTTAGTCGCAGCCCTAAAATGTATGACTTCTAATATTTGTTGCACCACAAAAGAAATACAGTCCTATATAGCTGCATCCAAATCCAGCTATTGGAAATGATCCATAGTAAAAGCTGTTTTACGGGTGGCTCCCTCCAACAAACACATTGGATCTCTACCAACTCTGGTATGATGAGCCTGCATGGACTTGTCCTCTGAAAATGTGAGACGTAATTGACCTGCACCCTGCTGCACACCTCTAAAACAACATGTATGTGCTGCAGGTCGCGGCTGTCAGCACTTTCAGACGGGTTCCCACAAGCTGCAGAGAAAACTGCCTCTGGTTCCCAGTATCATGTTTCTCTTCTGGTGTTGTGTGTCTACTAACTGGTGGGGTTTTAAGGTTTGGAGTACCGGTCCGACCTGTTCTTCCTCTTCATTGCTCTGCAGTGAACTCAGCTGCGGGGACTCAGCTGTGCTGAATGTCATCATGACTCCCAACTATTAACAGAATGACTCACCTACTCATCGCTACTTGTGAGGGGAGGTCAAATGTGAGAGTTGTTGCAAAAAAACACTTCTGAAAATAGCTCCAGAAAGCATGATTCACCCTGAAATGTAAATGCTGAATTTGAAATGTTTTGACTGTGCCGACAGCAGGAAGTCCAGGTTTTTAAATGGCTGGACTACAACATGCCAGTGTACGACTGAAACTGTCATCTGTGTACACGCCACACCTTGAAACCGAGCACAGGGAGAAGGCGCCCATTGCTCTACACTTCCCCTCCCCCGCAGATAAATAGGTGACTGACACCAAACAGGTTGAACCACTTCAGCTGATGCACACTCGACTGCCGCGCTTTAGAGGACACGGACACATCAGCTCAGAGCTTTTCACATCAGCTTTAACCAATCAACTATTTACAGTTTTAGGCTGAAACTAACTATTATTTTCCTAATCGATGCATCTTACGATTGTTTTTTCTATTAACTGATTGATTGTTTTGTCTATAAAATGTCAGGAAATGGTAAAAACAAAAAAGGGTTCTGTTTTAATTTCAGCTCAATGTGACGTCTTCAGATGTCTTATGATTTATTTAGTGGGCGACAGTGCACAGTTAGCTGATAAGATCATTTTCATGTGTAGTCCCGGGGCAGGTTATAACAAAGTAGCGCCTAATGTCATCAATAAAAGTGGCGTCACGGTTTAAATTCTATATTGAAAATCAATCAGAATGACTTTTCAATTACATCTATCGCAATCAAAAACAGAATCAATAACATACTTACTGTGGTACATTTTAAAACAATAGGACAGTTATATCGCACTTCATATATTTATACTTTTAAAGAAGAGTTGTCAGTGACAGTTGTCAGGGCATAAAACCACTGAGCTATTGATCTTTACCAATCAATACTGGATCAACTACACTAGATAAAAAAATGTGTAATGGATTTGGAGAATTGTGACGGCCCTACAGTTATTACAACCTTAATATGAAAAGCATCAAATCCTCACATTTGAGAAGCTGAGGACAGGCAAATGTTTGGTAATTTATCTTTCAAAATTATTATTCACTTAAAAATACAGTTGCCGATTAATCTCCTGTCAATCGACCAATCAATTAATCAACTACTTAATTATAAATGTTTAAGTGAATCATCGAGCAAAAAGGCAGAAATGTGTCCTAATACAAGGATTTAATTCCATTATTTATTTCTTCAATAACTCCATATAAAAACACACTCCATCAAAAGGAGCAGAGAGAATCTATTATGTTCTCCCTTCTCAAAATAATTTTATAGAAATGGTCCAACAAGCATTTGCTGCTTTTCTCTATTCTGTCTCTGAACTGTCGGTCGGACAAAACAAACAACATGAAGGTCATCTGTGACTTTGTCTTCCCGGAAAGGAGATATTCCTCAACATCGGCATCTAACACAGTGTATGAGTGTATTTAGGATATTGTGACGCAACATTTTACAGACTAAACAGTTCACTGATTTATTGAAAAATAACATTCAGATGAATCCATAATGATCAGTCGATGAAATGTCCTAACAGAGTTTGTCCAACCAACAGTGAAACAGAGAAAAGCAGCAAATTCCTGGAGAAGCTGGAAGAAGAGCGTGTTTATCACGGCGATCGATTAATCAATGAAACGACTAATTGTTCCATCTCTAGTTAAGTCGAACAATCCAACAAAGCGCCGTCACTCACCCACGCCTCTACATCCCCAGGTGGCTCCATCTCGTCCACAACCTTCACCCTCTTCCACAAAATGTTGCTCTTGCCGTAGTTTTGGATTTTCTGGCGAGTCTTCAGAGCGAAGACGAGCATGATGATCAGAGCGATGGCGACCAGGAAGCCCAACACCACAGCGATGGCCTGGAAGTACAGAGTTAAGAGTTACAGAAACAGAACGACAACGAGATTTAAAAAAGGCACTGAGGGATATAAAAAGAGGAGCGCTCACCTCTTGTGGCTCCACGACGCAGTAGTGGTACAGGTACTGGTTGACGAACATCCCTGAGGGCTGTGGTCTTTGGTACTGAGCACACAGACCAGCAATCTGGCTGCCGTAGGCCGACCCGGAGGACTGCGCCATCGGGTTCACCGCTACCAAGTACACTATGGAGGCGATGAGCATTAGCAGCGCCAGGATGGCGGAGATGATGATCACTGCTAGGTAGAACTTCCTGCTCTCCGATAGGCTCTGGTGAGACACGATGATGATGAAGATGGCCAGGGCTGCGATGAAGCTGATGGCTGCCATGGCAATGATGAAGCCTTTGCCCGCTCGGGGGTCGTTGTAGTTCCCTCCGATTCCACCGTAGCCGTAGTTGTTCCCAGCTCCGTATCCGCCGCCACCAAAGCTGCCGTACCCGCCACCGCCATAGCTTCCTCCATAACCTCCTCCATAGCTTCCTCCTCCCCCGTAGCCGATGCCCCCAAATCCACCCAGGGCGCCCTGACTGTCCCAAGCCAGCGTGGAGGCGACGCAAGCAAATATGGCGACGGACATCACGATGACCATGATGGACATGATTTTGAGGATGCCCGGTGGAGACGTCCAGCGGTAGAAATGCTGGAACTCGTCGTCCGGGTAGTAGGAATAGGCCGGCTGGGGAGGGACGTTACTGCGAGGAGAGGAAGGAGACAGAATAACATACTTTAACTGGCTGAATTTCATAGTAAAAGCATAAAATCTGATAAAGATTTGAATCTTATGATCAATTGGAATAAAGAAACACTACAATACTCAAAGTTATTGACATGGGGGGGGGGCATTGAGAGAAACCATTTGAGAATCATTTCCCAGAATTCTTTATGTAAATTCACACATTTAGAACATTTTTGACTACATTGAGATTTGAATTCACATTTATAATCCCTGAATCCACAAGATGGCTGCCCCTCCAGTTGCTTACTGTTTACTGACTTTAAAAACAAACCTTGCAACTAGTAGTAATGTTAAGATTTCTTAAATATATTACAGAAATATTTTACTTTGAAAACTCAAAATCTGTCTGATTTTATGACATTTGAATTATTTAAAAGTTGTGTAATTTTTGGACTTCTGGACTAATTTCTAGATCTAAAAAGTTAAGTAAAGTTAAAAAAATAAAGTTGCTCAGATCAGATTGGTGAAATTTAAATAAAATCAAGATAAAAAGTTCAAAATTAAACATTTGAGCAATTAAGGACAAACAATAGACTCTGAATAAACCATAAACTACATAAAACAAAATAGGTTTTCAAAATAAAATAGTCAAATATCAATAGTATTTACATTTTCAACATAAAAGTATTCAGTAATGTTACATTTCACAACAAAAATCAAATGAACGTGTATTTTTCTCTATAGAGGGTGTTCGTACAGTCTGTCATTATCTGAAGCTCATTAAATGAATCAACAACAATAAGTTCAACTGTGTATTGATTGAAAGAGACTCACTATCCATCTGACTCATAGGGAGGCGGACTCCCGTTGGGCCTGGAGGACATTACTGCTGGATCCACTGGGTGCTGCTCTGTGGAAAGAATCTGGAAGAAGGTTTCTATCATTAGGACAGATTTAATCAATAAAACATATTTAAAATACAGCTGCAATTAATGATTATCTTCTTTATAGATTAATTTTGTCTGTACAGTATCAAAAAAAAATGTGACCTTGAAGAACTTTAAATGTGTTTTGTCCCAAGAACATCAAAAAATTAAAGATATTAGGTTTACTGTGTAAACTATTTGCCAGATATTTTAATAATAGATACTTTTCAAATCATTTTGGGTAAATTTTAAAGAAAATTCTCTAATTTCAGCTTCATAAATGTGAACATTTTCTGGTTTCACAGTAAACTGAATATCTTACCAACATTTTTTCACCATTTTCTGACATTTTATGGACCAAAAGCTAATCAATTAATAAAAAAAAATCATAGACAGATCAATTAATAATGAAAATAATCGTTGGCTGCAACTTTATACGACATAAAAACAATAAAAAGGCAGCAATTCCTTCTCTTTATGAAGCTTGGACTGAGGAGATTTTGAGTATTTTTGCTTTAAAATGCCTTAAACGATGAATCCATTATTAAAAAAATATCGCCGATTATTTACCTATCAATCAACAAATCGATTAATGCTTTCAGCTTCGTTATGAAATCATACACAACCGACATAAAAACAATTTAAGATTTAAAACGGCCATTTTCGATACCAGATCTGGCAGCTGTGAAACTGAAACATCTCAGGTCAATAAATCCACAAATGTTCCTGTTTCATCCAAATAACGTAACAACCATCATTCCCACTTTATTTATAGGTTTTATTCCTAATAATACCGCAAGTTTAACGCAATTTAATCTTAATTTTGACAACACAGCCGCGGAAAGCTGTTTGAATTGATTTTAAACCCGTATCCAACAACACACCTGTCTGCGTTGTTGCTACAGGTAGAGTGCAGGTAGAGTACAGGTAACAGTTATTACACATATAACAGCAGTGAGTGGAAGAAGGCTTCAGTGTACACTCACCTGTTGTCTCTGTCTCTGTCTCTGTCTCTGCTCCACCTGAAACGGCTCAACTGAAACTGCTGCTCATAAAAACAACGCAGGCCACACCCAGGTGAGCCCCGCCCACTCCCCCTCACAGGTGTCACATTACGTAACAACACCAGAGGTCCACGCGGAAATACCTGGAAATGCTTCATAAAGAAAGACACAACAGGCTCAGGGGTTTGGTAGATTAGAGTCTGATAAGGAACACCATGGACAAAGACTATTTTTAGCTCGATGAGGAACAAACGCAATAACATTTGTTCTGATTGGTCGAAAGTCTTGAAATTTGGTACCAGCACACTTTGGGCGAGTGTCTAACAGGGCAACTTTGAAATGTTTAGATAAAATGGAAAATCACAATTTTATTAGTGGTCAAAGTTTGGATTTATTTGAAATGAGGATAAAAAAAGTTAATTAAATGTTTTTTTACTCTGCGTATTTGTGCATATCTTTGACATTTAACTTGTGAGTTTATAAATTTTAAATACTTGATTGTTCTTATAGTTTCTGAGATACAGCCTTTTTTTAAAATCACATTACATTTAGTCTTTGCGTACAAGGGACTGCACTGTTTTTAACTAAAATGGTAGAAAATGCCCCGAATAAGCAATAAAAATGGAGTTTCATTTAACTTTATTCTGCTGAGGTTGACATTGTTGCACTCTGGTGACTCTTTCTTCCCCTTTTCCAGTAAAAGAAACTGTATTCTGAGGACAGAAAGCACCAAACGATCACTTAAATTATGAAAGAATGTGGACATTTACAGCAACATATTTACAATTACACCTTGTAAGAGGAATACCGACCGTATGATTTCATTCACATTCAATCAAGAGGTCCAGTGTGTACAGCGGTGTGACGAAGACCATACAAGAGATGTTTATGCACTTTGGATATTTAAGGGAATATAAAGTACAAAATATTTAATCTGTGAAATGGTAGAACAGTGTAACAACATAACAGACAACATTTAAAAAACTCTACTACAGATTCATATAACAGTTGCATAGAAAAAAAGAGACAGTGTGCAGTTAAAACAATGCAAATAATCGTCACAGCAGTTCAAGCGAGAGCGGGATTTGTCCGAACAAGGTTTAAGGTTAGGTTTAAAGCTGTGAAGACAAAACATGAAGACTGACAGGAAGGTAAACCAGGAATAATGCAGCATCTTTTTCATTTTACCTTCCTCTGCTCCTCCCGACTGAAAACATCTCCCACATTCACAGCGGATACCAGTGTCATTTGTGAAATTAAGTGGTAAAGCCTCGGCTACAATCATAGTCACAGTATCACACACACACATATATGTATATATATGTTTTGTTTTTTTTTTTGCATATTCAGACCATTTTAAAGGAATAGTTTGATATTCTGGGAAATTCACTTATTCGCTATCTGGTGAAGAGTTACATCAGAAGATTGTTTTTCTTATTCTTTTAGGTATGTAGCTACATCCAGGAGACAGTTTCTTAAAGACACATAAGAAACAGCTATATATTGTATTATTGTGGCCCAGCTTGGACTTAAAGCTGCTGCAGTATTATTTGCTGGGTGTATATGTGTATAAATGACCGTATATAGTAGTTTATTTTAATTATCTTTTTTTATGTGTGCAGCATTAACGAACTGCAAACCTTCATTTCTTGATAAAAACATTACATAATAAATTATTCTGAAATGGGCCATTCTGCATGAGGAGTACTTTAACTTTTGGTTATCTGAGCGTGTTCTGAAGGACCGGTGAGTAGGATTTAGATTTAGTGGCTAACTACAACACCCTCACTTCACCCTTTTAAGCGTTTAGGAGAAACTACAGAGCCACGAAACCCGTGAAAAATGTAAAAGCCCCGATATAGAGCCACATTTTTATATATTCGGGTGATTATACACTAATGAAAACATGCATATTAATATTATATTACATTTCTGCCAATAGATCCTCCTCAATGTTTCACTCTGGAGCTTTAAGTAAAAGTTTAAATGCAGGACTTTTACCTTTAACAGAGTATTTCTACACTGTCGCATTGCTGCTTTCATTTGAGTCAAAGATCTGCAGCCTGTTGCACCAGCTGTGTGTAATTTGTATTTTTACACTAGAACAAGTTATAACGTGTAGATGAGTGAACTTCAGAGGTGCTTGTGGGCTGACTTTGTTGTTGTTGGACAGAGCCAGGCTAGCAGTTTCCCTCTGCTTCCAGTGTTTGTGCTGAGCTAAGCTAAGTGGACGTAGCTTTACAGTGATCCTACAGAGATGAGAGTGGTACAGATGCTCTCACCCAGCTCTTCACCAGAAAGCGAACAAGAGTTCTCCCTAACTTATTCCTTGAAGCATAAAAACATTTTACCCTTTGTGGGCTTTAAAAACATACAAAACTGCTCGTAGACCTTTTTCTAACCGCCAACCGCTGCACAGATTTAAAAGACACAGCAGGCTGGAAGTCCCAGTCGTGCTCCCGTGCTCCTCTCTGGGTTTAAATGTCATTTTCACCACCAGTCCTGCTCAGCTGTCAGTAATAGTTCTGTATTTGTGGTGTTTCCAGGGTGGAGAGGTTTAGCTGTATCCGTCGTTCCACTCCATGACTTTATCATATTCCTGGATCTTCTGTTTGATGTGCGACAGTTTGCTCTTCAGGTACTCGCAGCGCTCCTTCTTCTCCAGGAACGTAGGGTCCTGGTGGTGAAGCAGAAACACGAGAATTTAATCAACCAACTGTTCAGGAGCAGTTATTTGTACGACTACTGTTATAGTGGCCAAACTATTGCTGCTGCTTATTATATTTATATGTACTTTAACCTTAATTAGTATCATTGGTAACACCTGAGTTTACCCAACTATTTCATGCCACAATGGCAAATACAGATATGTGCTTTAATCTATTACATTATTAAGGTTCTGTTTGGAAGATATTTTACTGATTGACAATGTGTTCATGTGAATGTTTGAGGAACTTTGAGTCTCTAGAAGGAAACAGAACCTCTATAATATAAACTAGAGTGGGCAGCCAACAAACCCACGGCTATAGAGCGTGTATACAAAACATCGACGAGACAATAGGCTCACATTTTTCTTCCTCTGGTATTCCTGAAGGATTTTGTTAATGCGATCGACCTCCTGCAAAAAGAGAAACAGACTATTAAACTCTGAATATTAAACAGTGATGTACAACCCTTTAACAAGTATGAAAATTAAAGTTCAATGATGCTGTAAAATCAGCTTAAACTCTGGATGGAGCGGAGAAGGAATTTGAGGGTGGAGGGGAAGTTCAGCGGGAAGCAGGAAGTGCAAACAGAGGAAGTTACGAGATGGGGAAATGAGGCGCATTTTAACAACAAAAACATATTCCAGACACGCAATCAGTCTGTCCAACATGCTTCCTCAGCGTTTTCATGTGAAACGAAACACTGATGGGACGATCCAGCTGAGCAGAAACAACACACAGCTTCAGACTGACGGGGAAGGAACAGAATCTGGATCCATATCTGATCAGCACTGTTTGACAGTTTGATCTGAGTTTGGTGCGTTGAGCTGGACGGACTCACTGAGAATGAGCTGTCAATCACAAGGTAGCCCCGCCCTAAAGCATACCCTGCTTTATGGTCTGTTTTACTGTAAATGGGACCATCAGTTACTAAATGAACATCATGCTGTATGGAAGAAGACTGAAACTAGAGACTGAGACCAGAAACTCATCAGGAAACTGTTTACTGAGCACATAAATCAACTGAGAATAGGGTCATTTTTCCATTACATTAAATAAAACCAGGCTTCTTTTGCATGTTTAATGTACTTCTGCATTGGCTCAGACTGGAAGCTCTGTCCACTATATATACTGTCAATGGAGTAAACTGATCTTCATGTTTAAAACCGGTGGGTGTGTGCCTTTAAACAGCAGGTATATCTGAAAAGAAAACCTGACATAAAGAACAATAAACTCACAAATGAGATTAAAACGGCTTTTATGCAGCTATAATTTAGATAAACCTGGTAGTTTTGTAGTAACTCGGGTACAGACAGACTCTACTTCTTCTCTACTAAGAAGATAACACGACTGAGTATTATTTTGAAAAGCACAGGAGACAGGAAGTGGTAACCAGTCACCATCTGGCTGGTGGGGTGCTGGGGCAGACTGCGCATCATGACGTCCATGTCGTCAAACTTCTTGAGGGTCGCCTGAACGTCCGAGTGGATCTCTTTGTACTCCGCGTACTGGTCATTGAACACGGCTCGGTACTGGTCCCGCTCCTCGTCCGACCGGATCGTCGGGTACTTCCTGCAGAGAGGAGGCAGAAAACAAAGAGTGAAACTATACTGTAAAGCATTTTCCATACAAGCAACACACCACACACACATAAAATGCTTTTGTGATCAATAAAACACTGCAGGCAGAATTAGAAAAAGATGAAGAAAATAGGACACTAAATAAACTGAGTCAGGTGAACAAATAGATAAATAAAGTAATAAAACAGATTAAATAATAGAAAAAGTAAACAGAGTAATAAAAAGCAAAATAATTAGAACGTATAAATAGAAAAAAGCAATAAAACAAATAAATAACAATAATAAAAACAGAAATAAAAACCAATTAAAAGCCAGACTAAAAAGGGAAGTCTTGAGTTTGCTTTAAAAAAGCTGAAACAATTAATTGATTGACAGAAAATATATATATAACAGCTTTAATAATTGATTTAGTGTGTCAGTTTAATTCAAATGTAAATAATACAGCGGTTGCAGCTCCTCCTCACACGTACATATTTCCTGGTTCTCTTTGCCTGTTTTCACATCTCAACCTGTTGTGTTCAGGTTACAACAATCTCAGGTGTGTTTGCCGGTTAACTACAGCACGTTTAATCTGACATTAAAGCTGTCAATCAAACCCTGGCGTGGACTGAACAACCCGACCTGAGACCAGAGGACCCGGGTCCGCTTCCACTCTGGTGTGAGGTCTGAAAACTAACAGACCAACCACAGGCTTTTATGATCAGCAGATCAGAAAGTGATCTTATCGGAAGAGATGTAAATGTTTATGCAAATCTTTTTTCGTAACCATGGTAACACATAATTCTGTCAGCATGTGAGCGCAGCGACCTTTTTCCTGATCAGAAGCAGCTGAGAGTGTGTTGTTCTCTCATCCTACAGTTGGTCCATTAAAAAGTTTATAGGTGTAAAATAAATAATAATAATAATCAGTTATTTCTTTGTGAGCTCTTTGTGACACCAGAGAACATAAACATACACATCAGAAGCATTAAAGTGCGACATATATAAACCAATAAAAGAGTCAACTGTCTGTATGACTTCATGTGTACTGGAGTGAACAGGAACCGGAGCAGAACTAAACTAAAGGGCAACAATGTGTAATGTAGAGCTAGATATTATCAGCTGATATTGGCCTATTGCAGACATACTGGTATCGATGTGTGTGTTATCAGATATGCACTGTTTTTATGTGTGGTATATAATGCAGTAAAAAATAACAATGTATATCTTAAATTGAATTGAAGAGAGCAGCCTTGAGTCCCTTTGCAGAGTCATATAAGTGCACAATCCTTAAAGAAAAGGTCTATTTTCCTTCCAGCCCAAAAAAAATCACTACATAGCTGAACACAGTGACCTTAAGTCTCCTGCAATATCACATTTTTCAGAGTTTTTTGACCATTTCTTGCAGCTTTCTGACATTTGAAAGCCCAAATAATTAACTGAGAAGACAACCTGTGGATTAATTGATAATAAGTTAGTTGTTAGCTGTATTATATCGACCTCTCCTCACATGCACAACTCACTTTACAGTATATTGCATTTTGTAGCAGCACTTACGCAATGTAGTCAGGCATAATAACAGGTTTTGGAATGTGCCCTGATGGTATAGCTCCCTGTAAAACCTTTGGTGGGACTGCTTTTAGAGCAGCCTGGATGGGAACGACAGAGGAGCCTTGGACCTGTTCAGGAACTTTGGCTGCAGGACCTGGAACTACTGGAACCATCTGCAGAGACACAGAAACAACTGTGTTAGAATAACTGCGCAGACTGAGCCACTGGATACTGTGACTGTATATCCTGAATGAATGAGTCAGTACTATTGATTTCTACACTGAACAGCATCACAGGATACTCACCAAAGATTGTGTGGTTCGGATGTCAGATGGATGCATCTGTGTAAACAAAAACATAATCCGGTTAACATGTAGAACACACAGGGTTTCTGACGGCTTCAACAGGGTCAATTCAAGACCTTTTAAGACCATTATGAATTTAATTTAAGATCTATTTCACGCCCAAACTGGCAAAAACTACAATGGCTTACGTATTTTGTAAAAAGAGAACAGCAAGGTGAGCAGATTAAAGTAGTGTGTGAGGAGTTTTGCATTGTATCCCTGCCTCATCAACCCCTCCAGAGCACATATTTCTCTCATACGAACTCCCGAAGAACGTGATTTGTGACACAATTAAATAAACGACAGAGCAAAATATGAAACAATAGGTGCTCTTCTATCATCATACTGCACAGCCCTGACATTAATATTAATATAAATATATATTGTGCATCTCAGAAGCTAGCACATAGTTATAAACCAGACTGTGTGTGCACCTTTTCTGCAGCACACAGGTAGGATTCACAGACTCCGCCTGCTCCAAAGCTCTATGTTCAAATGATGTGGTGTGCTGTTGCATTGCAGTGAGCGTGAACAGGTTTGTGTTGGAATGATGCTTTAAGCTTTAAGAAGAATCTCTGAGCGGTTTTGAGGAATCTCAGTACCCAACCCCGTCAACAACACAAACACAAAGACACTGAGGTTTTACCTCCTGGCCGTACTTCTCCCGGTATCTGCGTGCAGCTTCATGTCTCCACAGCTTGAGACACACCATGGCTCCAATCAGATATACGACCAAAGTAACAAAGAGAAAGATAATGGCGGCGGTCTGGCCCGCCTCTGTCCTGCAGAACGCCCCATTGATGCCGTTGTTGAAGACCGGGTAGGAGCAGAGCCCTCCGCGGGTCGTGTCTCGGACATAAACGATGCCTGGTGAACAAAATACACACATGCTTTAATAAAACTTTCCTTTACTGGCATCGAACGGATCACACTGTGGCTTGATCAATCCTCAGGAAACTAAATATAGACCTCTAATTATTTATGGAAAAACATATTCAGTTTACTGTCATTGAGTTAAGGATCGACCAATGTTTCTTTAAGGTCGATACAGATGCCGATTATTAGTAATCAAAGAAACCAATAACAGACATCTGCAATTAAACATAAAACCTTTAGTGTCAAAATTCGGAACAACCAGTGGTGGAGTGAAACTAAGTACATTCACTCAACTTCTTTATGTACAAATTGAGGTACTTCTTTATTTTAATATTTAAATTTTATGTTACTTTACACCTCCACTACATTTTGAGGCAAATATCGCACTTTTTACTCCGCTACATTTATTTAATAACTTTATTTACTTTGCAGTTTCATACACAAAACATAAATCCACTAATAAAGGATGATGTATAATAACAGTAAAATTAACTCAACAGTTACCAGCTGCAACATCCAACAATGATAGCGATCATACAGGGTTAGTAGTGAGTTAAAAAATAATATTATATATATATTTTGAACACTTATTATTGTATCAGGAAGGAAAAAATAATCGTGGCAGATGATTTATAGATATATAGAAAACAAACAAACAGATAAATACCGAATATTGGATGAGATAATAAGCTGATAATCGGTCTATCCCTACATAAAGGACTAAAGACTAAGGTTGACAACTAACGGACTAATCTTTGTAGCTCTCACTGTGACCTGCAGCTCTTATCAGCACTGTACACGGTCCCTTACAAATAAACACACTCTCAGCACCTGAACAAATACAACCTGCGTGGACTCACAGTCCCAGGAGTGACAGTGTTTGTGGTTCAGGTGTGTGTGTGTGTGACCCACCTGCTGCCATGTACAGCACTGCTAGAGCCAGGTTTATGGTGAACTCCGTCAGAGGCCACCAGGAGGAGTCCAGCAGGATGGTGCGGTAGTACATGGTCATCCCCAGCACCAACATGATCACAGTCACCAACCAGGCCAGCCCTGCCACCACCAACACAAACGGGGTCTTGGGCCCTGTGTAGTAGGACCCGCCTGTGGTGCCGCCGTATAAACCGCCTCCGTATGCTCCTCCGGGAGACGAGTACCCGAACATGTTGAACCACTCGTTGTCTTTGTGGATGTACGCACAGACGCAGGCGAACACGGCGGCCCCCAGCAGGAGCTCCACGCAGCCCAGAATCCTCAGCAGTCCGGCCCAGGACTTCATGTAGGCGTAGCGCAGGTGGTACTCCTCCACTCGCTCGCTGTAGGTCAGACCGGTGTGGTAGGTGCGCCCTGACACAGACTCGTGGCCGTCCCGTAGTTCCAGAAGCTCCTTGCGGGAGTTGTAGCTGCTGCCCGAGCCGCCATACGGATCCCGGTAGGATCCCGGGACAGAGGGGGACTGTGGAGGAGAGCAGCGCACCCCCTCAGTGGTGCTGTTGTTGTTGTTAGTGGAGGAGGCAGACATGGACCAGGGCTTGTTACTGCTGCGGTTGCTTCCTCTGAAGAAGTTCTTCCAGGAGTCCGGGATGAAGCGGTGGACCGGTTTAATGTCGAGGGCCGGGTCGGAAGCCGGGTCAGGGACCAGGTCGGGGTCCAGGTCGCGGTCTGCGTTGTCCTCGCTGCCGCTGGGATCGAACTCAGGGCCCACAGGAGGCTGGTCCGGCAGAGGCGGAGGAGGGAGGGGGTCGGCGCTCTGAGCGAGGTGAGCCGATCTCTGCTCCCTCAGCGGCTGCAGGTCGAGGGAGTCTGCTCGGGGTAAAGAGCCCTGTGGCACCGTGTCATAGTGGGGCGCCTGGCGGACGCGCTCAGTGCGTCCATAAAAACCTCCTCCATAGGACATGAGGATGGTGATGATCCCTGAGAGCAAACAACAACATCATCAGTACTGTTTCAATGAGGTAGTTAGAGTAAAAGGATTACAGCTGAGAGTAATCAGTTGCTCGACAGGAAAATATTTGTCTAATTGTTATATCGTTTAAGTAAATGCCAAACATTTCCTGGTTCCAGCTACTCAAACATGAGTTTCACTATGTTCCTTTTCTCTGTTTCACAACATTTAAATAAAAATCTTTGACAAGATTGAATCCAGATTGCTTAATAAACGATTAACCAGCTGATAAATCTGTAGTCAACTAATGATTGATATTTCATATTTAGCACAATAAAGGTTATTTCCATAATGCATCAGCTCATAACTTCCTCCATTAATCATTTGTTCTATAAAAATGTCAGAAAACAGTGAAAAAGCATCACTATTATTGAAAAGGATCCTCAAATGTTTTGTTTTTTCCCCTAAACAACAGATAAAAACCCCAAAATACTCAATTTAATATCAGAAATATCAGAAATCCTCACAACTGTCAAACAGGAACTCAGGAATGTTTGCCTTCTTGCTTTAAAAACAAATGAATGAATCTTTTATCAGCCAGTTATTTCTCTGTCGATCAACTAACCGAGGAATGATTTAAGCTCTCAGCGTATCATCAATTACCAGAACTAAAGGCAAAGAGAGGAAATATACAAGAAGAAGAACCCCGAAGATAAAAACAAACTCCAGACTGATCAGAACATTAGAGAATATCCTTCATGCAGCTCGGTACCGAACAATTAGAGCTAACCCCCCCAGTACCGGAGGTCACCAGAGAAAAAAAAGGCCCTCATGAGTGAAGATGTTATCCCAGAATCCTCCATGCATGCTGAGTCAAGAATGCATTTTTGTGCTGCGACCCCCCCCCGTTGTTGTTATAACCACTAAAGTCTGATAATAAGAGGCTCAACTTACCGGTGGTTGTTGCAGACAGCACAAAAATGCATTATTGACTAAATCAGCCCTTAAAAAGCCTTAAATTTCCTTTAAGTGGATCTTTGAGAGGTAAAAAATAATATGAACTGAGCTTGAATACCTCTTTCACACGCAGTCACTCAACACGACTTACATTGGCCTGCAGGTCAGAATGCAAACCTGGTATGAACACAGAGTACCGAGGAATCAACCTGGGGAGACAAACAGAGGCGTTAGCAGTGTTCACACTCTGGTTTTTAAGAAATCCAGGACCTTTTCCAGGAGATTTCTTGACAATGTGGTCATATAAGTGGTCATATAATTCACCGCGAGGCCGAGTACTGACACATTTTGATGATAAAGTGTTTATGGGACGCTCGCCCAGCTCACTTTCTGCAGTTTCCCACCGATTTTTTTCGCAGCTTTTCCGGTGATTTGACTAAAGTTTACTACAATTTCCAATCAGAGTGAGGAGCTAAAATACAACTAACATTTTCCAGGGCAACACAGATTATTTCCAGAATATTTCTTTTAATTTCCAGGTGTTTCCATGACTGTAAAACTAGTCTCTAAATTCCCAGGTTTTCCAGGTCACACAGGAACCCTGATTAAAGGTCTGAGGGGAGAAGAGGAGGTGAACTGGATGTTTGTAACTTGCAGGACTTCCACCTGTAATGGAGTATTACAATATAACCTCATATTTCTATTATAATGTCAGATGTTGTGATATGATTCAGGATTAGTGAGGGAATGGTTGTTTTTGCATCACAAATTAGATTTTCACTAATAAAAAAACTGACATTTGTTTGCGTTTGCATGAAACAAACATACTTTCTTAAACCTGCAGAACAACATGTGTATTTCAGGGAATCTGTGCAGCTCTACAGTACGTCATTACAACGCTGTCACATATTTTACCTTTAACGAAACTCTTGCACTTGGACATATTGTAATTTCAATTATAATTTAGATTCATTCTGCAGCTCTAGATTAGATTAATACTTTTCCAGGATATTTTGGTCATTTGAATGAATTTCCAGGTGTCTCCATGACTGGAAAACTAGTTTGTAAATCTCCAGGTTTTCCAGAACATGTTGGGTAACCTTACCTGGGTTCTGAATGCAGGACCTACTCTTGTAATGGAGTATTTTTACGCACTGGTACTTTGATTAAAGTAACGGATCAGAGTGCTTCTTCCACCCACTCATTGTGTGTCCTCAGGTTGAGTCAGACTGCTTTTGGAAACAGTTTCATAATAACACAGGAGTGTACAAACACGTCGGCTGTGTGTTGTAATAAAAACAATAGTGTGTTTTTACTGATAATGTAATATTAGTATGTAGTAATGTAATCATGTGTGTAGTGAAGGAGGCCTGATAACTGGCACACAGCCAGAGGGCTCGGTCAGGTAAACACTTTAATGTAACTACGTGTTAGGTGTTTATCGGCCTTTATGCTGTTCTATTAGAGTCCAACAGGCTGGAGCTTTATAGAGAAACTAGTCCTGGGTGTCTGTTGTCTTTCAGCGAGCTGTTGGCGATAACAGCGAGGTTGGACTTCACTCTCACTTTAACTTTAACGCGCTCACTCCTCGACATTAAAAGTTCCCATTTGGAACCGCACACGAGCCCTAATCGATATCCCACCGCTGCGAGCTGATCGATAGTTACTTTATAGGATGTAAACAGAGTCTGCAGCCTGCTTACCTTGCTCGCTTCCCTTTCCTTCTACTCCTTCTTTCTCCTTCTCCGTCTCCTTCTTTCTCCTGTTTCAGCAACGTTACACCAACAGGTCTCCCTCAGAGGCGACCACGTGACCTGCCCATCCCTGTGACGTCACTCAGACAGAGAGGGGAGGGGGAGGGGGAGGGGGGGGTGTACCTGTTGGTAAAACTGCACACCTGAGAGACACACACACACACACACACACACACACACACACACACACACACACACACACACACACTGATACTGTGACTAATACACTCAGTGATAAGCAGAGGGGGAAGTATGGAAGCTTTTTACCGCCAATAAAAAAAAAGATTCTATAAGTTATTTTAAGAAGAAACCTTCTTAAAATATTGATTTTAAGATATTATGTCATTATTTTGTGTTATTAAGTCAATACTTTGAGATATTAAGTCAAAATAATGTGAAATGTTTAAGTCAGTGGTTCCCAACCTTTTTCCTTAAGGAACCAGTTCTCTATCATTTCGTAAACTGACGATTCCTGATTGTGACATATTTTATAAATATATTATATTTAATGCAGATAAATAACAGTACAGAACAACAAACACAATAACTGCAGGTGCTTTGTGTAAAATGAGGAATTTGGAGGAATTTTGAGCAAATTATTTTCAGTTATTCTGAAACTTTTAGGATCTTTTTGTATAATTCTGTCTGTATTATTTATTTTCATACATACTAATTAAACTTAAACTACAAATTTATTTATTTTTCTTAAGAAATGAACCAAATGCTGAGATACAGACCTACTGTGTATATGTTTTAAGTTTTCTTACACCCCTCGTGACCCCCTGTGAAGCTTTGGCGATCCCTAGTGGGGGTCCCGACCCTCAGGTTGAGAACCACTGGATTAACTTGTCAAAATGTCAAAATAAGACATTTTTTTCTGACTTTATAGAGATATGTGGTTCTCACAGGACAGTGATAATGATCTTATAGATTGATAATATTGATAATATTGATGATACTTTGTAGTGGAGTATTTTCACAGAGCGGTATTTGTATTTTTACTGAAGGACCTGAATTCTTCTTCCACCTGATAATCTGCAGCAAGTTTTGTTGCTGAGCACTAGATGGCACTCTGTAGTTACAGTATAACACACACACACACACACACACACACACACACACACACACACACACAATTTCTACAAGTTTCAGTATTTTAATCAATAAATGAATCAATATTTAGTTTTTAATGTACAAAAGTATTTACACACGTTGCTTTTCTCTTAATTTTCTCTCAGAATCACATTAAAAACACAAAATTAAAACAGATTTCTGATCAAATAATTAGTATATCACACAGTTCGTTTAAAGCATCATAATATTGTATATTTTTACATTTTAAAATACAAAGTCACTTAAAATTACTAAAATACTTTATCAAGAGTGTTTGTTTTCCTAAACATTCTTTATGTGATCAGTTTCAACTGTTTTTGAGTTAAATTAACTTATCTGATACTCGCTTTGTGCAGCCAACAGGCTCAACTCTGACTAATTAACATTATTAATTACATTATTATTAACATTATTATTGCTGCAGGTTTTTAGAGGAGGATGGTTCATTGGTTTAAGGTTTATCAGCCACCATCTGTAGTTCATCAGAACTCCTCACTGCGGCCGTCTCACTTCTCACTGCAGCTGTCTCACTGCAGCTGTCTCACTGCGGCTGTCTCACTGTGGCTGTCTCACTGCTGTCTCACTGCTGCTGTCTCACTGTGGCTGTCTCACTGCTGTCTCACTGCTGCTGTCTCACTGTGGCTCTCTCCTGGGCTGCACATCAGCACCTGCTGACTCCTGGTAGGTTCATTTAAAGCAATTAATAACTAATAACTTTTCTATAGTGGAGGATGGAAAAAAAAACTATTGTATTATTGTATATGATATATTATGATTTTGTTTATTATTATTATATATGATATTATTAGATTATTATGTCTCATGCTTTAACGTAAAAGCAGGATTTTACTGTTGTTGGAGCTCATTTTGAAGTATTTTGTATTGGACTGTAACTAGACAAACATGTTGAAGTTAAAAAGAAACAATATTTCCATCTGAAATGTGGAGTTGAAGTATAAACCTCAATATTGTACTTTAGTAAATGTACTTAGTTTGGTCACATTCCACCATCACTGCAGTTTATTAGCGAAATATCAGCAGCTTCTTTTACATTTTGTAAATATAAGAAATGGTTCGAGTTTTAATTCTGATCGATTCTTCAGGTTAAAATATTTCCGACTAGTTTAACCTGAATAAGATTATTTTTGCTCATTAAAGAATTTCCTCTTAGGACATTTTAAATTCTGTTTAAATCTTAAAAAAACACAGTTTTATTATTTTAAATGGAAACGTGATTGTTGTAGATTACGAGCATGGGAAATAAAATAATTTTAAAAAGTATTTGGAATATTTGTTAATCTCTTTAATTCAATTTGTATTTTGAACAATCAGTATAGATCGGGGGTCTCAAACTGACGGCCCGGGGGCCATTTCCAGCCCTCCGGCCCACAACATGATGTCAAAAATATAATATAATCCTGCTGCCTTGATTATTATTTTAACTCTTTCATATCAATTTAAACTACCACTTCATATCCAGTTAATATAAAAACATAATTCTGTTTTCTATTTCATTTGCCACAAACTAATGGCTGAAGGTCAAAGCTGCTGCAAACATGTGCAAATGGATGAAAAGAAGAGAGCAGGTTTCTGTTTATCTTTTGTTTGGCAAAGTACAGATACCTGGAAAAACTACTTAAGTACACTAACAAAGTATTTGTAATTAGTACCTTCCAACCTCTGTATCTGAATACTTCCAGAGGTAAAGTGGACAGTTCATTGACTGGATCAGTGTCTCAGACTGACTCTTACTGGGATTTACTGGCCAAAAGCCAGTAAAGTAAAAGTGTGCACTACTTAAGATTGTTGAAGTCTTCTGTTTCTTTTTTAAAAAAAGCATCCAGTGAGAAAAGAGTAATCTGTATCTATGTTTGGCAGAACAGATGTTGCTGTTAGTACCAGCGTTTACCCAGGTCCCGGAGATAGCGGTGTATCTGCAGCAGAACAGATGGTGCTCAGAAATAATCCATCAAACTGAGAAAAGACTGAATAAAAGACACTGAGAAACTTACTTCTCACGACTGTTAGTTGTTTTATTCCACAGAGAGGTTGTGGATTCATTCTGTAATCAATAATTCGACACATTAAGTGATCAGGTGCAGTGAAAGATGATTGATTGTCTTTGTGTGTAGTGTTGGTATTGTTCGCTGTAACTGTGCCACGGCAGATAGAAGAGAGCAGGGTGGAGTTCTCTTGTCTTTTTAACCACCTTTCTCTCCCTGATAGAGCTCCTGCAGATCAGTTAAAGTATTTTTAGCCCCCGCCAGCGATGCGGCTCAAGAGATGGTGGATGTTTCAGTCTGGACTGAAGTGGTGGTCCAGACTGAAACATCTCCACAACTATTACAATGAATTACTTTGAAAAGTTTGAGAGAGGATGAATCCAGCAGACGTTGGTGATCCTCAGACTTCTCTTCTAGCGCCACCAGCAGGTCAAACCTTTCATTTATCCAGTTAAATATCTGAACAACTACCAGAAAGACTGGCGCAAGATTTAGTACAGACATTCATGTTCCCCTCAGAAATCCTCTGCAGCTGTTCTTGCTCACGTTTCCATGCACATTTGAAAAAGACCAAATAACAATTAAGTGAAAACATTCCCTCATTTAGCATTCGCACACACACATCTAGCTCCTGTTCCTGTCACTGTGGATGAAAGTTAATTATGGAGAACTGCATTGAGTCATAAATGATCCTCTCCTTCCTGTCTCAACTGTCTCCCAGGACTGTAACCCAGTCTTCGAGATGGAGCGGCCGTCTTACACTGAACAGCTTTTGCTGCAGCTGAACCAGCAACGATCCAAAGGACACTGGTGTGACGTGATCATCGTGGTAGAAAACGTTCTCTTCAGAGCCCACAAGAACGTCCTGGCAGCCTGCAGCAGCTACTTCAAATGCCTCGTGCTGCACGACAACCTCATCACCCTGAACGCCGCCGTGGTGAATCCTTTAGTGTTCAAACAGGTGAGAAACCACAAAAACTCAAGTTATTCTGGTGATTTTTGTTCATCTAAGGGTTTGTAATGAGGTTTTTATCAACTTCTATCAGGTACTGGACTTCATCTACACAGGTCAGCTGTCTACCTCTCACCATGCTAGTGACCAGGGGGTGTCTGACCTCCTCAGAGCTGCGTCCTACCTGCAGCTGTCAGACTTAGCAGCTCTGTGTCGCAGGAAACTCTGCAAGTCCAGTGACTGGACATCCTCCACCATCAAAGGCCACCTCCATCCAGGATCTATGGAGGTACAGCAGAGTCATAATCAGATGCTCCACAGGGAGGATCTGTCCGAGGAGGAGCTTTTTCAGGCACAACGTGTGTCTGTTAACTCATCAGCAGCAGTCGGCCTCAATGGAAGTGTAGAGACAGGCCTGAGGATAAAGCTGACCAGGAAGAGTCCGACTGGAAGCCTGCAGCAGAGCTCCCCACACTCCAGCAGCAATTCATCAGATGACGTACCTTTTAACGCCATCTCAGCTTTCTGTAACCAAAGATTAGAGCACAGCGAGCAGCGGCACCCAACCTCAGACTCCCAGCAAACGGCAGCACACAAGAGGCCCCGATCCAGCAGCTGTTTGGAAGGAAGAGTGCAAACAAAGAGACAGGAAGTGGACAATGGAGAGCTGGAGGACCAAGCCGAGGTCAGAGAGGGAGATTTGGTCCTGAAGGACGAGCTGAGAGAGAGCGTGAGTGAGGAAGAGGAGGTTAAACCTGCCAGCTACATCTACCACCAACCGCAGCCCGCGGTACAACCAGCTCTGTACGACACGTATATGTGCATCCCCTGCGGGAGAGGCTTCCCAAGCTCCGAGCAGCTCATCACTCATGTAGCCTCACACACCACTGAGGAGCTGAGAAAGAAAGCTGAGGACACAGAGGAGCATCAGGACACAAAAGAACCAAAAGCAGATGTGACCCGGCCTCGTCACGCCTGCTCGGTTTGCAGTAGGAGCTACGCCGACGTGGCTTTGCTGACCCAGCACGAGAGGAGCCACTGGCCAACCAGGCCGTTCTCCTGCGACGTCTGCGGGAAGCTGTTCACGCAGAGGGGCACCATGACGCGGCACATGCGCAGCCACCTCGGGCTCAAGCCCTTCGCGTGCGAGGAGTGCGGCATGCGCTTTACGCGGCAGTACCGCAAGATGGAGCACATGCGGATTCACACGGGAGAGAAGCCTTACGAGTGTCAGCTCTGTGGCGTGAAGTTCACCCAGCAGCGGAGCATCATCAGCCATCTAAAGATACACACAGTGGTCTCAGTGTAGACGGCACCTCATACACAAATCACGATCCAGTGATAACTACATGCTATTTATGTGCATATTTGTACTTGATGAATGAGTGTTTTTTCAAGGTTAAAAGACAGGACCAGTGTGTGGAAGTTAGTGACATCTAGTGGTGTAGTTGCAGATTACAATCACCTCGCCCCACCCTCCCGTTCCAAGCGTGTAGAAGAACCTAAGGTGGCTGCGAAAAAGGACCTATCTAGAGCCAAAAACATGGCGGACTCCACCAGAAGAGGACGTGCTCCCTCTGTAGATAAAAACGTCTCATTCTGAGGTAACAAAAACACAATAATTCTTATATTCAGGTGATTAAACACTAATGAAAACATACCTATTAATATTATATTTCTGACAATAGATCCTTCTCAATGTTCCACACTGGACCTTTAAGTTCTCCGCTCACGTTGTATTTGAGCATACGATGAACCACTTATATTATCATTATTTAATGTTATGAGATTTTTTTTAATATGTTAATATAACATAATAGTTCAAACTTTAAAGACTTTAAGTGTGAAAAAGTAAATTTTTTGTTCCGTTGGACGTTTTTATTCGGTTATAAGCAAATGACACATCACACTCTTTATAATATATTTGTCCAGTACCTCAGCTGGACTTTGTGTTTAGTACCAGTTAATTAAAATGTAAGCATGGTATCATGCTAAACAAAGATGGTGAGCATAGTAAACATTATATGGCTGTACACTCCCCTAAATGAGTAACAGAAGTGTGAACTTATTCACTGTGTGATTGGTTGACTGTGTGTCAGAGAATGTGAAATAAAATGTGAATGAACAGATAAGTTTCATTATGTCACAGATTTCATACATTGAATTAAATATTTGCTTAAGTAGATTCAGTCTGGCAACAAACACCTTCTGCATATTATTGTTTGTCTTCTTCCTTTGATCAGGTAATTCTGCAGCTTTATTTGAGTCAGCACCACTTTTGTCAAAAGAAAAACTTTATTTCCAAATGCAGTGTGCTTATATTGGCGGTCTGGCTCCATTCTGGGACCTTAAAACTTAAGACGAGGAGAGCCGCACTAAAGACTCCCCAGTGTACAGAACAGAGCAGGTATTTATTAAATCAGATAAAGCAGAAAAGGAGAAGCTGCGGTGGAAGCGGGTTGCAGAGGAAGCAGCAAAGGTAGGTCGGCTAAAGCAGCTCAAATGGCGCCCTGAAAGAAACTTGACTCCTAACTGGGTTGATTTGATTTGTTACTGAGCTGATTCGATCGTTATTAAAGAACCAGTGTGTAAGATTCAGTGATGTCTAGTGGTGAAGATGCAGATTGAAACCATCTGAATACGGCTCAGCTTTCCAAGCGTGTAGGAGAAACCTCTTCTTTTAAGCACAGTAGATCCTCCTAAATGTTACACACTGCACCTTTAACTCACCTTCCCATCAACAAAGTCTATTATCAAACGATTATTTTTCCTCACATGGCTCATTATCTGCAGGAGTAGAGTGATTGTGAGCAGGTCTTCGTGAATCCCGGACTTTGGAGCTAGTTTTTGGTTTTGTGAATACGCCCCCAGGGGCCCCCCGAGACCCTCTTCTGCTTACTGATGAGGAGGAGGGAGGAGGGAGGAAGGGTCCTTTTGTGCACTACAAATTTTAACTCCCACTTCCTTTGTGTCACTGGCATAAAAGGGTTTTTATGTTCCTGCCTCTTATCATCAGTTCATTGCATAATAACATATTTTAAACATATTTTTAGCCTTTTCCAAGTTTCCTTTAACTCACTTCCCTCAGATAATCTTCACCAGCAGCGCTCTTCCTCAACCCATCAAACATGTGACGGCCCCCTTTGGTGTTTATTGTTTACGGCCCGTTTATGTTGTGTCAGAGAGGTCAGAGTTCAACACAACTGGCTCCTTTCTCTTATAACTCTCTCTCTTTGTTCGCCTCCACTCACACAGAACAGTAATGGATCAGTGGAGTTTCAGCTGCTCAGCTTTCTTTAAAAAGTGGAATAAATCTGCTGCTGAGTCACTGAAAGGACACAAATAATTCCCAGAAAGGAGCAACAGGTCGTTCCTTCAAGACCTTTAATAAAAAGCATTAAAAGTATTAAATCTTTATCCATTAAATCCATTGAGTTTGGTTAAAAGTTGTATCATCTGTCCTATTAGAAGTACCTTTAGTGTATGTATTTATCAATACTACAGAGTATTAATACTCTGTTCCGGTAAAAGTCCTGCATTAAAGATTTATTTTGACCAAACCAGACTGTTGTTGGAACAGTTTAAAGACCAACAACGTCAGTTTGATTTTGTTTCTGTCCACAAGTTACGACATTACGATTATCTGTGAGGTTAAATGAGTGTTTTTGTTTATGAAGTCTGGTGGAGAGCGATAGCGATGCTGCAACTGTTAAACAAAAATCTCTATCTCTGTAAGAAAACAAGAAAAAAAGAGGACTAAATCAGTAACCTGACACTGATGAAATGTATACACATTTAATCTGGAAAAGAAGAAGTTTTCACACATTATCAGAATAACAGATGTGATCTTAAACTGAACCGGCAATGATTTCGCCACAAACTGAGCAAATACAGACAAAACACACACACACACACACACACACACACACACACACACACACACACATACAGTATATTACATAGTGACTTGTGGTTCATGGTGGACATAAGGGATGACTTATTTAACATATTTAAAATAACTCAATAAAATCCACATTAAAAACTGGCTTTGTTGAGTTTTATAAGCCATTAAACAAGTTCTGTATACTTTAATACTTTATGTTCACCCCTTAAATCATAAAGACAGCAGCTGCAACATACAACACTTCTCACACGAGGGTTGCGATGGAAGGAATTATAGCAACTTCATTTGTTGAACACAACACACACATATCAATATACATGAATATATTGCATAAGGTTAGGGTTTTTTTCATCAAGTATTACTACAGTTGTGTTTCTACCGAGGGTAGGAGAAATGGCTTTTTAGGTATAATCATCATCTGCATCAGTAACAGAAAGATCATCCAACACAAACCCAAACCCAAGTGCCTTCATAATCATCCAAATACTCGAACAGGAATGTTTCCAAAATGGGGTTACACACACTGTAAAGGGTATGCAAACATGTAATCTCACACATTTTATTAGACAGGACAAAAATACATCGGAGTCTCTGTTTGAGACGAACATGCTGTGATGTAGAGCAGCCAGCGAGCTCCTGGTCCACTCTTTGTGCTGTGTCAACTCTTCCACTACAGGAACCCAACACTGTTACAGGTTCTGCTTTTATTTCCACTGTTCTACAACTACATTTCAGGAATCTGGCGAGGACGCATCTGGAGGCAACGGACCACAAAACGACCAGTAAACAGTACACTAAAATATGTTTCTGAAAACGTTTTTAAGTGATAAATAGGCAATGTAGGAACAGAATTCATCAGCATTGCCTAGTTTGAAAGTTGAAGCTCAGTCGTGTTTATGCAAATTCAGATTGGGCAAACGCTCTGTCAACCCACAACGTACCCATCATGCATCGTACGGGAACACATTAGCTAACTTAAGATGTGACTATAGATGTCACTTTTATCTTTTAACCATGTTCAACACTTTGTTGTCTTTTCAACATACTGAATCCGACCCGACTGTCGGCAGCCAGGTTGCATTGTGGGTGATGTAGGCAGCAGATTAAGAAGGAAGAAGAACGTGTGAAATAAAAAAAGACTTTATCCCTTTTATGAAACTGCTCATAGTGAGTCTGACTGTTTAATCATTTTTTTAAACAGCGCTGCAAGGAAGCACGTTTCAATATAAAGACGATATTCTGATTCAGAATGTCCAATATGTGTATTATGCCAGCTTGTGCATTTGTTCCTTGTAAACTGTAGACTGTTTGTTGGGGAGCACACTACCCCAGGTATGTTTGGTTAACATAAGTAAGTCCTCCATTGGATACACGTCTTTCATACAATGTTCCAAACTCTAAAACAAAAACAGTGGAAACAAAAAGCAGAACCAAACACAAAAGACTCACAGGTTCTTAAAAGTTCAGGTTACAGGTAGTTAAAGTCCCTGTGGTGGAAAAATACCTCTAAACAACCAATATAAGCGAAAAGCTGACGGGATGAGGTGCGACGTGACTTGCTTTGAGGATAAGCATCAAAGTTGCACAGTCAAAAGTCTTTAAAATCGATAAATATGTTGTTCACATATAACTCTACAAGATCCATGTTAATCACAGAAACATACCTGCGATCTGGATGTGATTCTACAGTAAATATTCTACAGTAAATACTACAGCATAATTATGTTGGATTCTCTAAGTACCTTAACATTTCTAAAGACTACTGTTCCATTAAATGCTGATTGATTCCTGCATTGATTTCAGATCTATCAACACTGGCTTGTGTTCTACTAAATCAAAAATACTGCGGTTTTATTGATCAGTTGATTAAACTGCAGATTGCTTTAATCTCTGATTTCTGACGTATAATCTCTGTTTAAACTCTCGATGATAGGCAGGCGAAGCTGATGAAATACTGCGATCTATAAAGTGCATAAAAGTGGACAACAGCATAGAAACAAAATGATAATGATTATTACAGCTGCTTCGACAAACACTATAAATATGTCTCCCTTCATGGCCATCTTCCTCTAGTGTGACAGTTTAGTTGGTGTTGAGTAACAAATAACAGCATCAGGAAGAAAATACTTAAAGGGTGATTCAAATACCTCTTTTGGTTAAAGTCGTACATTGTTCTTGTACTCTCAAGTGAAATGAAGAACTACTTTAAAACGTACATTATAAAATCCGACAACTTACAGTATGCTGAAAATAGTTGGAGCATTAGGATCAAAGTGCCAAGTTGTTGTTCTCTCTCTCTTAAAGGAGCAGAGTGGTGTACAGAGCCGGGTGGTGCAACCACCGCCGTATTAAAATCACCCAAAAGAAGGTTTGCATTGCTTGTGTAGTGACGTTCGTGTTGGACGTACAGTGGAGGTCCGGCGGAGGATCCTTAATAAGGAATTTGGTTCTGGTAATACTGCAGCATGTCGTACGTTTTGCTCCTGTTGAAAACAAGTTCATGAAAATGTATCAGTGAAGAACCCAGTGTCTACGTATCAATCAATCAATCAATCGATCGAACTTTGTATAGCAACCTTTTCAGACAGTTTAGTGCGCTTCACAAATGATTGATTAGAAGACAATAAGACAAGATAAAAATCACAATAAAACACAATCTTAAAAAAAAAGTTCTACTAAAAACTAAATAAAATAAATGAAGAAAGCAGGCAGAAATAAAGAAAAATAAAAATGGTTAAAATGTATATATATTATGAGGAAATAATTAAAATAAACTAACAAAGACATTTACAAATTAATATATGATAAGATAATTGAGTAAAAAATGGTAAATAATGTCTAAAAACCATTCTTTAGTTAAAAGCCAGGGTGAAGAGGAAGGTTTTGAGTTTATGTTTAAACATTTTAACACTTCTAGCTGCTCTCAGATTCAGTATTTTTGTGGTGATAAAAAGCAGATTCAGTCCAAGGAAATTTTCGCGACCAGTTTTAGAATCTATGACTAAACTTTTGTTTTAGTTCTGGTCGAGCTGCAAAGAGTTTTGTGACATCCATAAATATATATCTAAAACACATTTAAAAAGGGAATCAACTGGTCCTGTGTCATCAGGAGACATGGCCATATAAAGTTGGGTGTCATCAGCGTAGAATGTGATATGACAAAATAATTTAAATATATAAATATATAAGTTTTTGGTCATATCATGCGTTGGTGTTTGCATAATGTTAATGTCGGATGAGATTAGCTCATCAGCTGCATTTTTCTTACCTGCTACTGAGGAAACAGCTCTGGATGACTTTGATGATGAACGCTGCTGCTTCTTTCTCACTCATCTGAGGATTGAACCGTCCCCTGATTAAAGAAAACAAAAAATAAA